TTCTCCACGTAGTAGCCCGTCCCCACGTCGATGAGCACGTGCTCCACGTCGTGCAGCTTCCCGGGGACGTACATCTGAGGAGCCGGGGTTAAGGGAGAACTGACCCAGCTCCAAGACATGGCTTTGTCAGCCACAGTACTAGCCCAAACGTGTCCTTTTCTAACAAGGTGCAGAAGGGAGAACCAAGTAACGGAAAACTTATCGGTCACTGTAACTGGAGAAAGACAGAGCTGGTTCCGTGGGAAGACAACAGAAACCGGAACACTTTCTTGTCCCGATCCCATCTCTCATCCTTAAAGGCGTTCTTGTATTTTTCCACATTAGTCTTTCCAGAAGAAATAGATCAGATACTTAGGATTCTTTCCTAAGGTTCTAGAATAGTGTGAGTGAAAAGCCAGGCTCACTTCCCCTTAGCCACAAGTCCTTATGGATTATTACACATTCTTATTTTAAAAATATATATATATATTTGTGGTGGTTTAAATATGCTTGGCCCACGGAGTGGCACTATTAGAAAGTGTGGCCTTGTTAGATGAAGTGTGGCACTGCAGGGGTGGGCTTTGAGACCCTCTCCTAGCTACCTAGAAGTCAGTCTCTTCTCCTGCCTGCCATTGGATCAAGAACTCTCAGCTCCTTCTACAGCACTATGTCTCCCTGGATGCTCCCACTAAACCTCTGAATCTGTAAGCCAGCCCCAATGAAATGTTGGCCTTTATGAGTTTCCTTGATCATGGTGTCTCTTCACAGCAATGAAACCCTAAGACAAAAACTGTATGTATGTATGTTCGTCAAGTGCATGCCTGGTTCCTGCAGAAGTTGGAAAAGGTTGCTGTATTCCCTTGAACTGGAGTCACCTACACCATGTAGATTCTAGGAACCAAAGCAGGTTCTCAGCAAGACCAAGTGCTCTTAACTGCTGAGCCATCTCTTTAGTTTCAGATTATTACTGCTTTTAAAATTACATCTACTTGTTTTGTGTATATGTTTTCACAAGTGTGCATGCCTTGAAGCACTGAAGTCAGAGGACAACTTCTGAGAGCTGCTCTTCTCCTTCCACCATGTTGGTATCAGAGACTGAACTCAGGTTGTATGTGTGTTTTGACCCTCGGCGTCACCTTGCTGGCTCTATTGTTGTTACTTTAAAACAGTCTTCACCACATTGCTATTCTTAGGTTTCTTTTTCGACTGTCATTTCGTGGTCATTTCAACAGGTGGAAACAATCTACATTTCTTAGTGAAACCATTTCAGAGATGAGCAGCAATTAAGCTGAAATTGAAAGAGACCTGTTCCCAGTTTCAATATCCTAACATTTTTTTCTACTGCTTTAGCTGAATGCAAGCTTTATCTCTATATTAACATCTCTAAACAACAAAGAGAAACACCACATTTCAATTCTTCACTGAACTCTGATACAAAGTATCACATGGACACCCGTCCAAGGTTAGAAAAGACCTAGGTAGTGTGCAACTGTTCTTAAAATCATTGGATGACTAATCAAAACTCTCCCCGCTTTTGGGAAGGACTGTGGAAGAAGGTAAGGTAGCATTTCCCGTGGAAAGGATACAGAACTCGTCAGTGGGACCAGTAATTCTTTTCCTGTGAAAGTAATGAAGACAAACAGCTGGGGAAGGCTAGCCGCTCCCACGTGAAGACGTTAAGGGAAGCTCCCAACAGGGCTCAGTGTCCACAGACAATTGAAAAGAACACAGCAACTGAGGAACGTCTTGTACATTTTAGTTTTCCGTTGGCAACATGCGGGGGCTCGTGTGGGCTATACACACTACGTAACGGATAGTTTTCTCTAACGAAAACTGGACTAGGAGAAAGCGACAGAGAAGCCGGCCTCCCCAGGTGCCCTCACCCGCCTAGCCCATACCCTCGTTGCTCTTATTCAGCACGTTCAGACAGTCCTTGGCTTCCACATATTTAGTCTGTACCACCTTGAGCTGAGCAATGGACGTGGACAAAAACTCCACCTCCTACAGAAGCCGGGGGAAAAAGGGGTCAGCTGGAGAACCGAGAAAGCGGGTCTCGGGCAGAGGGGGCGGGACCTGGGACCGGATAGGGGTTTCCCTGGGAAAGGAAGCCTCCCCCACCCGGAGGGCACGCGGTCGGAGGACGTGAAGCGCGAGGAAGGTGCTGGGACAGGTCCTCACCTGGTCCAGCTGGTTCTTGAGCATTTCTAGTTGTGGCAGATTCAGCTCCGTGATGTTAATCGACTGCGCCATGTTGGGGAGGACTGCCGAAGAGGAAGCCGCCTAGGCGAGTGACGCTCTAGCCGTCCTCCGCGTTATCTCTATGGTACTGCCAGGGGATACGCTCTGCGCTCTTTGTCTCTATGATCCGGCGTTTTGGACCCGCTCTACGGATCTCAAACTTGGTTAAAGAACACAAAACGTGTTTTCTTTTCGCAGAGTACACCAAAGCTAGCACAGTTAAGTAGCAAACACGGCTTGGGCCCTCAAGGAACTCTAAACTCTTGACTCACGACAACCACTGAAAGGTTATTTTTAAGTCAGATAAATAATATAACTGTAAGCCTCAATTTACTAATACAAATAGTTAAAAATAAGTCAGCCAGCTTGCTAACTCCAGGCCGTCACTAAAGATGCAGGGAAACAAAGGTCCGAAGATCCACAGGCTGTAGAAGATAGGGAAAGTGCCCAAGGGTAAATTCCTTAAGAAAGAGAACATTATTAAAACACCCATCTGTTCCTGTGATGTTTTAAAAACTCCCACCAAGGGCCCAAGGACTTGCTAATTAAATCCTGCCAGGTGGTGAGCTGGCTCAGATAAAATTCACACTGAGTTTCAAGGCCACAGAAACCAGGCACAGTTCTCGTGAGATCCGTTTACACACATTACAGATGTTTGAAACAGCCAATTGTATATGACTGTGCCACAACCCCTTTCCTACCGCCGACCTTTACCTTTAAATCTCCTAAACTTAGATCTCAGGGCCGAATCCGCTGTCTCCTACGTGAGATACGTTTCGGACCGAAGCTTCGTTCATTAAACCTCACTCTTGCAAGTGGTCTCTGGAGTTCCTTGAGAGCTCGCGTCGTACCCGAGTCTAATTTTTTAATTCTGGGGACGTTTTCATCACAAGATTGTAAAGCAGTATATGCTACTGCGCGTCGTTGGGACAAGCCCGGGACAGGCTAGCGGGGAGCCTGTGTTCTGATAGTACCACTAAAGTGCTTTAAATGATAAAGTGTAAGTGCCAAAGAGGAGAGACTGTCAACGAACTACATTTATTTTTTGTGTCTCAATATATGCAGGCAAACCAAACTTAGGTCCTCTGAAAGAGTAGCCCTGTGTTTTTTGTTTTTGATTTTTGAAACAGGGTTTCTCTGTGTAGACCAGGCTGGTCTCGAACTCAGAAACCTGCCTGCCTCTCAAGTGCTGGGATCAAAGGCGTGCGCCACTGCCCGGCTCAGCCCAGTGTTCTTAACAGAGCACCTGTCCAGCCCCATTATAATTGTTACTGTGTGATGGATATGAAGGGTATATGTGCTTCCCAGCAACTTTAATAGTTAAGTTAGGAAGGAAAAAAAACCATGCGAGTAGCAAAACCCTATAGAATTGGCTGCTGGCATTGCTGAATTGTAGCAGTCTTAGTGGGAAGAGCAGTGGTTTCTAAAATCATTCCGAAGACAGACAAAGGCAATGGAAGAATTAAGAACATCCACATTGCCCTATCACTGCCTTTGTGAACACTTGCTAAGTAGACCAGGCTGGCCTCTGCCTCCCAATGGCTGGGATTAAAGGCATGCAGCACCAGGCCACTTTTAGTATTTTGATGGCCCTCTTTTCAGCTTCATCACCACAGCAAACTCTGTCCTGTGGTTTAGTCTTTCTTCCCAAAGCTCTCCCACTCTGAACCCTGTGGAACACCTCCAATCTGCTTACAGTCAGAGCAGGAGTGAGGAGAGGAGCTTGAATTCTCACAAACCGAGGCTTGGTATAGCTTTATTAAGGTCACATTAAAGAAAATATTTCATACAAAACACCAGGGAAAATCACTTTAAAAATTCTAAATAATCAAAACCAAGTTTGGAGGTAGATAGTCACACAGCTTCTACCACAGACCAGACAGTTTCAGGGTGTTTGTAGACAGACAGGTAGGCCGTAGGCTACAGGTGCAGCACCAATAAGATACTTGAGCCGAGGGGCCTGGCGGGCTTGGCTGGCATAGTAGAGGAGGGGAGCCCCTGGGCCTGCTCCCAGCCAGCCCTGCAGCAAAGCCTCCGTGTAACGGTCAATGTCTCGGTCAGTCACATCCCAGAGATTACCTAGAAACAAGGGGCTTGGAAGAAAGAATGCAGAAATACAAAGTAAGGGCTCTGTAACAACAGACATGGGAAAACATTATCAGTGGTGCATGGGTAAGGAGGCTCGAACAATGAGGCGCTCCCTTGGCTTGTGGTTCCAGGGGAACCCCAGGAGGGAGGAAAGCCAGACACGTGAGAAATTCAGGGTTCAGACCCAGGAAAGAACCTGGGATAGGGGCCAGAGTTTTAATCCCCTAAGGGCAGGTCTCACCCTCCGGCCTTACCAGCCAGCCATGATGTACTTGAGCACGATACCAGCTCCCTCCAGGTTCCCGTGCACGGCGAGGGCTGCACTGCTACAGCCAAACACTAGGGCCACTGCCCGGCAGCTCAGCCGCAGGACAGCCTGGCCATCAAGGAAGCGGGCACCAGCTCCATGCCCTGCATAGCTGAGGCAGAAGGAAGTGAGACAGCACTGAACACCTCTAAAATGACCCATCAACCATAAAGATACCACCCTCCAGGATGGTCCCCTCCCAACTTCCCTGCCCCAAACACTCACATATATAAATCACGCTCTGTCAGGGCGGCCTGCACCTGCTCAAGGCTTGGCACTTCGCCGGTCACTCCTTTCCATCCGGTTTCACTGCAGGAAGAAGCTGCTAAGTCAGTATATGGCAGACAGCCGTGTAGCAAAGACCATGAAGCAGAGGGAGCAGCAGACAGAAATGAGACATAACCACTGATTCTGGAGCACGGTGCCTCTACCCTTCCCTACCCTACTTTATGCCTACATCACCTGACCTGCTAAAACTGGCTCGAAATCTCTCCTCTGTGCTTGACAGGTTACTGTGAGGGTTTAGCACATAGAAGGTATTCCGTGGATCAACACCTTGGCTCAGCACTGATGAGGCCCCAGCCTGAGAGGAAAGCATTGACAATTAGGCTCTTGGTCAGTCCAGGAAGCCCAGGTCCAGCATAGTCTAAGCCCCTTCCATATCCGACCCACTGATGTTCCACTCCTCCTATATCCCCAGGGCTGTGGCCTTCTTTCCTGAGGCTTTACCCAACAGCCACATTCAGGCCCCACGTCCCGTTCCCCACCTCTTTAGTGATTGAGTAGCTGAGCAGGAAACGGAAGGAGGGTAGCCGGGTGACCGGCAGTGCTCGGAGGCTAGGCATGCTTTCCCACGGCAGCTTTTGCAGGTCCTGGAAAAAAGCATTCCAGAGTCACTGTCACCAGCCACACAAATACAGACGTCTGAAGGGACCTGGAGACGACCTTGTGCGTGTCACCCGCTGGGCGCTGCTGGTGTCCTCTTACCTTGTCTAACACCAATACAAGATGTTGACTTCGAGGGGCCGCCTGGCTCTGTACCCGTCCTACTGCCTCGCTCAGGAGCACCTGCGCTCGCTCGGGCTGCCCTGGACACAGCCCACATGCCAAGGCCTGAACATCTTGGCTGGTGAGGATTCTGGCCCCACTCAGAATGACCTACAGGAGAGCAGTGGTTAGTGGGTGTGGGTGCCACACTCCACCACAGTGGCTGGAGGAACAGAACTATTTCCCCTCCGTTCCCTGAACTCACTTTCAGGAGAGCAGAGTCAGGATATTCCCAGCCACACCCCTGCAGAGACTCCTGTAGCTGAGAGGCCTCCTGGGCAAGGACCGGGTCGGTGCTGCACGGCAGCAGCAGCCCCCTCCAGCAGCCCAGCACTTGCTCCTCCAGGGAGGTGATGAGTTCCTAGGGCAGGGAGCAAGCTTTCAGTTAGACAGAAAATGTTTTATAAATCAGGAAGTTCCATTAGTCTTACATGTCTATGTCTTTTCCTTGTGTGAAACACTCAGCCAGGAGGTGGTGGCGCACACCTTTGATCCCATCACTTGGGAGGCAGAGGCAGGTGGATTTCTGAGTTCGAGAGTTCGAGGCTAGCCTGGTCTACAGATTGAGTTCCAGGACAGCCAGGGCTACACAGAGAAACCCTGTCTCGATAAACCAAAAAAAACCAAAAAACAAAAAAACCACTCAAAGGTTGAAGACATCACTATGTTGTTGACAAATATGAACGGTGGACAACAGGTCTTTGGTCTGTTTTGTCTTTTCTTTTTTGAGATAGGGTCTCCCTATGTAGCTCTGGGTATCCTAGAACTCACTATATAGACCAGGCTAGGCTCAAACTACAGGGATCCTAGGACTAAAAGTACACCACACCTAGTTTTTTCTTTTGAGAGAGGACCTCAGGCTATAGCCCAGCCTGACCTTGAGTGGCAGCAATCCTCCTGTCTCAACTCCCAGGATTGGGACTGCAGGCTTGTGTCATTGCACTCACGTCTTCAGTATTTATTTGTTGAAGTACAATTTTATATTTCCCAGGCTAGCTTCAAATTTCCTATGTAGCCAAAAATGACTTTGAAGCTGGGCAGGCATGGTGGCCATGCCTTTCTTTAATCCTAGGGGAGGCAGAGGCAGGCGGATCTCTGAGTTCAAGGCCAGGCTGGTTTACAGAGTGAGTTCAGGACAGCAAGTACTACACAGAGAAACCCTGTCTCAAAACAAACAAACAAACAAAAAAACAACAATAAACCAAGACTCTGAACTTCTGGTCCTCCTGCTGCCATTTCCTGAGTGCTAGGATAACTAACTAGCTTGTATAACCGCACGTGATTTTTTTGCTGTTTTGAAGATCAGACTAAACACAGGGTTCCTATATTCTAAGGTAATACTCTTCCGACTAAGCTATATTCACTGTCATTCATAGAGGAGGGAGGGAGAGGAGGAGGGAGGGAAGAGATATAACCAGGCTCGCTTCAAACTTACTATGTAGCTAATGCTGACCCCAAGTCCTGTCGTCCTGCCTCTGCCTCCCAAGTGCTGGGATTAAAGGCGAGGGCTAGCTCACCTCAGAGCATCTTTAAGCATTCCATTGCCATACCTCCTTTTAAGTCTGGAGCTCTTTTTAAAAGTCCCCCTCATATG